ATCTATGAAATATGGAAAATTTTTATGTGCCTGACAAAGAAAAAATGAAGACTGATCCATTCTCTTTATCTGTTCTTTTTCTTTCCATATCACTTATAATCTTGTTTTTAAATGGTAGTTTTAAAATTTGATTCATTTGAAAAATTCACCTGGGTAAAAGGCTCAACATCTTGATCATGTTGTTACCTATAGTTTATTTTCTAACAGTTTTATTGAGATAAAACTATAGCTATAAAGGCCAGGAGTGGTGGCTCTAATCCCAGCACTTTGGGAGGCCAAGACAGGTATATCACTTGAGGTCAGGAGTTTGACACCAGCCTGGCTAACATGGTGAAACCCCGTCTAAATACAAAAATTAGCCTAATATGGTGGTGCATATCTTTAATTCAAGCTACTTGGGAGGCTGAAGCAGGAGAATCCCTTGAACCCCTGAGGCAGAGGTTGCAGTGAGCCAAGATTGTGCCACTGCATTCAAGCCTGGGCAACAGAACATTATATATAAATGAAATATTTATATTCTGAACATTTAACATAAATGGGATCACACACTGTGGTCTTTTGCCTGACTTCCCTCACTGGGTGTGATTTTGTGGGGTTTATCCATGTTGTAGCATGTATGCAGTGAGGTTTTCAATGCTCCTGGACTTAGCGAAACACCCAGTGAGCAGGGCCTAGAGGACCTAAATCAAGGCATTATTTCCTTACTGCTACCATCATCTGACATGAGAGGAGGGGCCAGAGTCAAAGACTGGAGGTGAGAATGACTCAGGAAGATCCAGAGACACACGGAAGACCCCGAGATCTGCAAGAAATAAGACCTGGGGGGTTGGGGCGGTGGCTCCTGCCTGTGATTCCAGCAATTTGGGAAGCCAAAGTGGGTGGATCAGTTGAGGTCAGGAGCTCATGACCAGCCTGGTAAACATGGCAAAACACCATCTCTGATAAAAAATACAAAAAATTAGGCCAGGTGCAGTGGATCACGCCTGTAATCTCAATACTTTGGGAAGCCGAGACAGGCAGATCATGAGGTCAAGAGCTTGAGACCAGCCTGGCCAACATGGTGAAACCCCATCTCTACTAAAAATACAAAAGTATCCAGGTGTGGTGGCGCATGCCTGTAATCCCAGCTACTCAGGAAGCTGAGGCAGGAGAATCATGTGAACCCAGAGGCAGAGGTTGCAGTGAACTAAGATTTTGTCACTGCACTCCAGCCTGGGTGACAGAGCAAGACTCTGTCTCAGAAAAAAAAGAAAGAAAGAAAAGAAAGAAAGAAGAGAAGAAAGAAAGAAAGAAGAAGGAAAGGAAGGAGGAGGGAGGGAGGGAGGAGGGAGGGAGGAGGGAGGGAGGGAGGGAGGGAGGAAGGAAGGAAGGAAGGAAGGAAGGAAGGAAGGAAGGAAGGAAGAAAAAACAAAACTTGGCCAGGCATGGTGGCAGGCACCTGTAGTCCCATCTGCTTAGGAGGCTGAGACAGGAGAATCACTTGAACCCAGGAGGCTGAGCTTTCAGTGGACTGAGATCCCAGCACTGCACTCCAGCTTAGGGCAGAGAGGAAGACTCTGTCTTAAAAGAAAGAAAAGGATGGACACTTGGGGGTCAGCTAGCACCAAGGCCGGCCAGGGATGGTCAGTATCACACCTGATCACCTGGGAAGAGAGAGATGCAACCATCAAGTCAAAGCAAGGAGGTCGGGGAGGAAAAGAAGCCAGTTTCCCCAGAAAGACGACCAACTGGTGGGGTCTGCAGTGCCATCAGCAAGCCCTGGTGTGCTGGGTCTGAGGATTTGGTGGACTCAAACCAGGACAACCCCGGTCAACCCAGGTCGGGCTGGTCACCCTGAGTACAGAGTTCCCAAGGAGTGGGCCAAGGTTTGATGCATCAGCAGGTGGTTTGAAATGAAGGTCAGAGGAGGAAGGAGAAGAAATATGGATCCTAACTGATGGGAGAGAGTTCTGTGGGGCTGGTGTCTGGGGCTCCTGACCTTTTACCAGCCGAGGGAACAGACCCTTTGACCACCCTGCCTGGCCCTGTGCAATTCACCACCCGTTGACTTTAAAAGAAAAACAAACCTCATGATGTGTGTTTAGGTCTGTTTACTACCTGTCACTTTGCTGAAAGCCGAGTCAGGATGGTTTATCTCAGTGTGACTTTTTAATCTGATATCTTTCAGTTTGTCCCCAGGGAGATGATGAGGATGTAAAGGGCAGTTGTAATCCAGCCAGGCTCTCCCAGTGGACAAACAACACTGTCACCAGGCCCCTGCCACACTCTCATGCCCTCATTAAGCTTAGGGAAGTAGTTTCTGCTGGAGTGACCTACTAGGTTTCTAAGCAGCCTGTGAAGCATTGTATTTCTGCTGCACAAATTGTGCCTGGGAACGTTTTACATCATATCAGGCTGTTTGTAAATACAGAGATGGTTTTTCTTCTCTTGCTTCAATCTGGATGCTTTTTATTTCATTTTCAAGCCCAGTCACCCTGGCTTGAACTTGCAGTAACAATAATGAAAGGAAGCAGCGAGAGCAGCCACCCTTATCTCATTGCTGTTCTTGAATTATTTTCTTGAGACAAGGGTCTGGCTATGTCTCTCAGGCTGGAGTGCAATGGCATGATCTCAGCTCCCTGCAACCTCTGCCTCCCAGGTTCAAGCTATTCTCTTGCCTCAGCCTCCTGAGTAGCTGGGACTACAGGCACCTGCCACCACACCTGGCTGATTTTTGTATATTTAGAACAGATGGGCTTTCACCATGTTGTCCAGGCTGATCTCAAACTCCTAACCTCTCAAATGATCCACCCACCTTGGCCTGCCAAAGTGCTGGGATTACAGGCTTGAGCCACTATGCCCAGCCTTAATTTCTTTTTCAGACAGGGTTTCACTCTGTCACCCAGGCTGGAGTGTAGTGGTAGGATCACAGCTCACTGCAGCCTTGAACTCCTGGACTCAAGAGGTCCTCCCACCTCAGCCTCCCAAGTACCTGGGACTACAGCTATACACCACTGTGCCTGACTAATTTTTAAATTTTTGCAGAAATAGGATTTTGAACTCCTGGACTCAAGCAATACTCCTTCATTGGGCTCCCAAAGTGCCAGGATTGTAGGCATGAGCCACCAAGCCTGGCCCTGACTTATTTTTAATTTTTTGAGATGGAGTCTTGCTCTTTTGCCCCAGGCTGGAGTGCAGTGGTGCAATCATGGCTCACTAAAACCTCCAACTCCCAAGCTCCAGCAATCCTCCTGCTTCAGCCTCCCAAGGAGCTGGGACTACAGGTGAGCACCACCATAGCTGGCAAAGTTTTTCTTCTTTTTTCATACAGATAGAGGCTCACTATCTTCCTCAGGTTGATCTTGAACTCCTGGGCTCAAGCTGTCCTCCCTCTTTGTCCTCCCAAAGCACTGGGATTACAGATGTGAGCCATGGCTCCCTGCCTTGTTCTTGGCTTGGGGGAAAAGCACCCAGCCTCTCACCCTTGAGTATGGTGTTGACTGTGGGTTTTTTCTTCATTTTCCTAATCATGTGGAGGAAATTTTTTTCTGTCGATAATTTGTTGAGTGTTTTTGTCATGAAGGGTGTTGAATTTTGTCTGCATCTATTAAAATCATCATGTGGCCTGAGTGTGGTGACTCCCACCTGTAATCTCAACACCTTGACTCTACAAACAAATACAAAAATTAGCCAGATGTGGTAGCACATGCCTGTATTCCCAACTACTTAGGAGGCTGAAGCAGGAGAATCGATTGAGCCCATGAAGTGAAGGCTGCAGTGAGCTATGATTGCACCAATGCACTCCAGCCTGGGCAACAGAGCAAGACCTGTCTTAAAAAAACAAGTAAAAAATGAGTTTCTGGACTAATTCTATCTGAACTCACTGTCAACTTCTACACCACCTAAACATCCTTCTCTATTCTAAAGCCACTTCTTGGTTTCCTCCAGGCTAAATCAAAACTTTCTGTATTTTCCCTTTAAATGGTTTCTAATTCCTCCACGTGGAGGAGTTCAAATCCTCCCTCGAGGGTCAGGTGCAGTGGCTCATGCCTGTAATCCCAGCATTTTGAGAGGCTGAGGTGGAAGAATTGCTTGAGCTCAGGAATTCAAGAGCAGCCTAGGAAACATGGAGAGACCCCATCTCTACTAAAAATACAAAACTTAGCCAGGCATGGTGATGCACACCTGTAGAAGTCCCAGCTACTCGGGAGGCTGAGGTGGGAGGAGGCTTGAGCCTGGGAGATCAGCGCTGCAGTGAGCCAAGATCATATCACTTCACTCCAGCCTGTCTCCAAAAATGAACAAAATAAACCTCCATCAATATCTAAGCACCACTGAGTTCTCTGGGAAGAAAAGTGCTCACCCTAGATGAGCCAGCCAGAGTATGGTCAAATCACCCCTGCTCCCTGAGCCCAGAGCCAGGCATCAGCCCTCCCTCCTTCCTTCCCTCACTCCCTCCCTCTGTCCTTCTGTCCAGAGGTCACCAGCCTCCTGCAGCCTCGGCTCCTGCTGTGACTAATCCAGACATCTTTGACCCTATTCCTGGGGCTGTGGTGAGGATAGCAGTCACCTAGCAATGGTTCTCAACCAGGTGATCCTGCCCCAGGGGACACTGGGCAATGTCTGGGGACATTAGTGGTTTTCATGACTGAGGGTGCTTCTTGCATGGAATGGGTGTGGGTCAGGGACACTGCCCAGCACCCTGAAGTGCCCAGGATGGCCCCGCCACAGAGAACTAACTGACCTTCATACCCAGAGTGCAGAGCAGGAGAGACCTGCGTTCATTATTGGAAAAATATTGAATCTGCTTCCTGCTCACACTTGGCAATGGAATATGTTTGCAACAGGGAAGACAGTGTAAACCAGGAGGACCCCAGCTCCTGGGGCTCTCCTCTTCTTTCTCTCCCCACTCTGTATGGATTTCAATGTGTGCAGCCTCCTGGAAACTCAGTGGAGCAGAGGATCATGGGATCCAGAGTCTCTTGGGGGTCTCTGGAATCCCCTAACCCTGGGGGTCTCACCTGGGATGATTTTGTGCTCAGGGGTCACTAGGCCATGTCTGGGGATAACTGTGGTTGTCATGGCTGTGGGTGCCACTGGCATGGAGTGGGCAGAGGCCAGGGACACTGTTCAGCACCCCACAGTACCCATGACGGCCTCACCCCAGAGAACAATTGGCCCCAACGTCCACAGGGCCTGGGGAGAAGCCCCAGCTAAAGCAAAGCCTCTAGTGTGAAGGCATACATGGGTTACATGGCAGGTCACAGAGGCTACTTCGTGTGTTAGGGATCTTGGGATCACAAGCATTAATCAGCCGCCACAACCCCAAGCTCCTGGATGCAGAGACAGTGTCCCCTACCTTCCAGGCTTCCACTGTGGGTGTAATGCTGTCTCGAGTTTCAGCTTGTCAAGAACTGCATGAGGCCCAGTGATTCAGCAGCCAAGGCCCGTCTCCCCTTTGCTGCCCATCTATGGCCGTTACAGGTTGGCCACCAGTGTCCCGAGCCTCATGTGGGTGCCAGCTGTTGTCATAACTGACTGGAGCCTCTGCCATCCCAGGTGCCAGATCTCACAGCTCCCTTGGGTCCCAGGAACTTTCCCAGCCCCCTTCTTCCCAGGATCTGAGAGCATGGGTGAGCTTTCCCAGCAGAAGAAGCAACATGGGGCATGCAGGTAAGGCTGGAGGGGTGGGAGAGACCCCTGAGTCTGTGTCTGGGAATTGTTCTGTCCAGGCAGAGTCCAAAGCCAAATGCTAAGGGAGGACCCCATGAGTCTGCGCAGGTCACATCCTCCTGATCCTCCTGATGTCTATTTTTGTTTTTTTGAGACAGAGTCTCTGTCCCCCAGGCTGGAGTGCAGTAATGCTATTTTGGCTCACTGCAACCTCCACCTCCTGGATTCAAGCGATTCTCCTACCCCTCAGCCTCCTAACTGGCTGGGACTACAGGTGCGTGCCACCATGCCCAGCTAATTTTTATATCTTTAGTAGAAACAGGGGTTTCACCACGTTGGCCAAGATGGTCTCAATCTCTTGATTTCGTGATCCACCCACCTTGGCCTCCCAAAGGGCTGGAATTACAGGCACGAGCCTCCACACCCAGCTCCTCCTGGTGTCTTTTTGCTGCTGCAACTCTCTGTGGTGAAACCTCCAACCCAGTGGTCCTCACCTGGAGCTGATCCTGGCCCCCGGATGACACTGGGCAATGTCTAGGCACATCTGTGGTTGTCACAACTTGGAGAAAGGGCTCCTGGCATAGAGTGGGTGGAGGCCAGGGATGCTGCTCAGCACCCAGCAGTGCTCAAGACAGCCCCACTCCAGAGAACCACTGGCCCCTGTGTCCACAGTGCTCAGGGGGAAACCCAGGATTATGTCAAAGATTTAGGGGGTTAGGCTTATGTTTCAGAGAGGTGGCAGCCTCATGGTGAGGATACAGAGGGGCCGGACCCAAAGAAGGAGTCTGACACCCCTCCTGACACCTAAGGATGCTGGCAAGACAATGCCTGTCAAGAGGGTGGGGTGGGAAAGAGAAGTCAGAAGCCATACTGGCAGAATTTAGTGACTGGACAATTGTGGTCAGAGACGAAGGGGCAAGGGATGAAGCAGGAGGCAGGTCAGATTGGAATGTTTCAAAAAACTAAAATTTAGGAAAGTCCTAAAAAATACACCTTCATGGAAACTGAACAACTGGCTCTTGAATGTTGACTGGATAAACAATGAAATGAAGGCAGAAATAAAGAAGTTCTTCGAAACCAATGAGAACAAAGACACAACATGCCAGAATCTCTGGGACACATTGAAAGCAGTCTCTAAAGGAAAATATATAGCAATAAGTGCCCATATGAGAAGACTGGAGAGATCCAAAATTGACACCCTATCATCAAAATTGAAAGAGCTAGAGGAATAAGATAAAAAAAAAACTCAAAACCTAGCAGAAGACAAGAAATAATAAGATCAGAGCAGAACTGAAGGAGATAGAGACAAGAAAAACCCTTCAAAAAATCAATAAATTCAAGAGCTGGTTTTTTGAAAAGATCAACAAAATAGACAGACCACCAGTCAGACTAATAAAAAAGAAAAGAGAGAACAACCAAATAGATGCAATAAAAAATGATAAAGGGGAAATCACCACAGATTCCACAGAAATTCAAACCATCAGCAGAGAATATTACAAACAATTCTATGCACATAAACTGGTAAACCTGGAAGAAATGGATAAATTCCTGGACACCTGTGTCCTCCCAAGCCTATACCAGGAGGAAGCTGAAACTATGAATAGACCAATAACAAGGTCTGAAGTTGAGGCAGCAACTAAGAGCATATCACACAATAAAAGCCCAGGTCCAGATGGGTTCACAGCCGAATTCTACCAGACACACAAAGAGGAGCTGGTACCATTATTTCTGAAACTATTCCAAATAATCAAAAAAAGAGGGAATTCTTCCCAAATCATTTTATGAAACCAACGTCATCCTGTTACCAAAACCCGGCAGAGACCCAACAAGAAAAGAAAACTTCAGGCCAATATCCATGATGAACATAGATGCAAAAATCCATTATGAACAAAGATGCAGTGGCAAGCCAACTGCAACAGCACATCAAATAACTTATCCATCATGATTAAATAGGATTCATCCAAGGGATGCAAAACTGGTTCAACATATGCAAGTCTATAAACATAATTTGCCACATAAACAGAACCAAAAACAAAAACCACATGATTATCTCAATTGACACAGAGAAGGCATTCAACAAAATTCAACAGCCCTTTATGCTAAAAACACTCAATAAACTTGGTATCGATGGAATGTATCTCAAAGTAATAAAAGCTATTTATGACAAACCAACAGCCAATATCATACTGAATGGGAAATAACTGGAAGCATTCCCTTTAAAATCCAGCACTAGACAAGGATGCCCTCTTTCACCACTCCTATTCAATATAGTACTGGAAGTTCTAGCCAGAGCAATCAGGCAAGAAAAAGAAATAAATGGTATTCAAATAGGAAAGGTGGAAGCCAAATTGTCTCTATTTGCAGACGACATGATAGTATAGCTAGAAGACCCATCGCCTCAGCCCAAAAACTCCTGAAACTGATAAGCAACTTCAGCAAAGTCTCAGGATATAAAATCACTGTGCAAAAATCACAAGCATTACTCTACACCAAAAACAGACTTAAAGAGAGCCAAATCAAGAATGAACTGCCATTCACAATTGCTACAAAAATAATAAAATACCTTGGACTACAACTCACAAGGAACGTAAGGGACCTCTTCAAGGAAAACTACAAACTACTGCTCAATGAAATAAGAGAGGACACAAACAGATGGAGGAACATTCCATGCTCATGGTTAGGAAGAATTAATATCGTGAAAATGGCTATACTGCCCAAAGTAATTTACAGAATCAATGCTATCCCCATCAAGCTACCATTGACTTTCTTCACAAAACTGGAAAAAACCACCATGAACTTCATATGGAACCAAAAGAGAGCTCACATAGCCAAGTCAATTCTAATCAAAAAGAACACAGCAGGAGGCATCACACTACCGGACTTCAAACTATACTACAAGGCTACAGTAATCAAAACAGCATGGTACTGGTACCAAAACAGAGATATAGATCAATGGAACAGAACAGAGGCATCAGAGGCCACACAACATATCTACAACCATACAATCTTTGATAAACCTGACAAAAACAAGCAATGGGGAAAGGATTCCCTGTTTAATAAATGGTGTTGGGAAAACTGGCTAGCCATGTGCAGAAAGCAGAAACTGGAAGCCTTCCTGATACCTTACACTAAAATTAACTCCAGATGGATTAAAGACTTAAACATAAGACCTGGCACCATCAAAACCCTAGAATAAAATCTAGGCAAAACCATTCTGGACATAGGAGTAGGCAAGGACTTCATGAACAAAACACCAAAAGCATTGGCAAAAAAAGCCAAAATAGACAAATGGGACCGAATCAAACTTCACAGCTTCTGCACAGCAAAAGAAACAGTCACTAGAGTGAATAGGCAACCAACAGCATGGGAAAAAATTTTTGCAGTTTACCCATCTGACAAAGGGCTGATATCCAGAATTTACAAAGAACTCAAACAGATTTACAGGAAAAAAACAAACAAGCCCATTCAAAAATGGGCAAAGGATATGAACAGACACTTTACAAAAGAAGACATACATGAGGTCAACAAACATGAGAAAATGCTCATCATCTCTGGTCATTAGAGAGATGCAAATCAAAATCACATTGAGATACCATCTCACGCCCATTTGAATGGCGATCATTAAAAAATCTGGAGACAACAGATGCTGGAGAGGATGTGGAGAAATAGGAACACTTTTACACTGTTGGTGGGAGTTTAAATTAGTTCAACCATTGTGGAAGACAGTGTGGCGATTCCTCAAGGCCTTAGAAATGGAAATTTCATTTGACCCAGCCATCCCATTACTGGGTATATATCCAAAGGACTATAAATCGTTCTACTATAAGGACACATGCACACGAATATTCATTGCAGCACTACAATAGCAAAGACCTGGAACCAACCCAAATGCCCATCAATGACAGACTGGATTGGGAAAATGTGGCACATATACACCATGGAATATTATGCAGCAATAAAAAATGATGAGTTTGTGTCATTTGTAGGGACATAGATGAATCTGGAGAACATCATTCTCAGCAAACTGACACAAGAACAGAAAATAAAATACCACATATTCTCACTCATAGGCAGGTAAGGAGAAATGAGAACGCATGGACATAGGGAAGGGAGTACTAAACACTGGGGTCTATTGGGGGGAATAGGGGAGGGACAGCAGGGGGGGTAGCTGAGGAGGGATAGCCTGGGGAGGAATGCCAAATATGGGTGAAGGGGAGGAACGCAGCAAAACACACTGCCATGTGTGTACCTATGCAACTGTCTTGCATGTTCTGCACATGTACCCCAAAACCTAAAATGCAATAAAAAAATACATGCTTGAAAACACGTGCATTTTTATGGAAGATATGTATGGGAACATATATGTGTACATGCATGTATATGTAAAGATGGGTGTGTGCCGCTATATT